ATCCAGGACTGTTATCCTCCTGGTCTGTTATCCTCCAGGACTGATATCCTCCAGTTCTGTTATCCTCCAGTACTGTTATCCTCCAGGACTGTTATCCTCCAGGACTGTTATCCTCCAGTACTGTTATCCTCCAGGACTGTTATCATCCAGGACTGTTATCCTCCAGTACTGTTATCCTCCAGGACTGTTATCCTCCAGGACTGTTATCCTCCAGTACTGTTATCCTCCAGTTCTGTTATCCTCCAGTACTGTTATTCTCTAGGACTGTTATCCTCCAGGACTGTGTTATCCTCCCAGTACTTTCAGTACTGTGTTATCCTCCAGTACTTTCAGTACTGTGTTATCCTCCAGGACTGTTATCCTCCAGGACTGTTATCCTCCAGGACTGTTATCCTCCAGTTCTGTTATCCTCCAGTACTGTTATTCTCTAGGACTGTTATCCTCCAGGACTGTTATCCTCCCAGTACTTTCAGTACTGTGTTATCCTCCAGTACTTTCAGTACTGTGTTATCCTCCAGGACTGTTATCCTCCAGTTCTGTTATCCTCCAGTTCTGTTATCCTCCAGTTCTGTTATCCTCCAGGACTGTTATCCTCCAGTTCTGTTATCCTCTAGTACTGTTATCCTCCAGGACTGTTATTCTCCAGTTCTGCTATCCTCCAGTGATGTTATCCTCAAGTACTGTGTTATCCTCCAGTCTGAGTTATCTCCCAGTACTGTGTTATCTCCCAGTAATCAGTCTCCTACCTGCATCCACAATCATCCATCTCTGTTTGTCCTTTTTCTGCTGCTTCTTTCAACCAGTCCCAGCCCCCTGATACTGTCCCACCAGTCCCAGCCCCCTGATACTGTCCCACCAGTCCCAGCCCCCTGATACTGTCCCACCAGTCCCAGCCCCTGATACTGTCCCACCAGTCCCAGCCCTCTGATACTGTCCCACCAGTCCCAGCCCCCCTGATACTGTCCCACCAGTCCCAGCCCCCTGATACTGTCCCACCAGTCCCAGCCCCCTGATACTGTCCCACCAGTCCCAGCCCCCCTGATACTGTCCCACCAGTCCCAGCCCCCTGATACTGTCCCACCAGTCCCAGCCCCCCTGATACTGTCCCACCAGTCCCAGCTTCCCCCCTGATACTGTCCCACCAGTCCCAGCCCCCCTGATACTGTCCCACCAGTCCAGCCCCCTGATACTGTCCCACCAGTCCCAGCCCCCTGATACTGTCCCACCAGTCCCAGCCCCCTGATACTGTCCCACCAGTCCCAGCCCCCTGATACTGTCCCACCAGTCCCAGCCCCCTGATACTGTCCCACCAGTCCCAGCCCCCCTGATACTGTCCCACCAGTCCCAGCCCCCCTGATACTGTCCCACCAGTCCCAGCCCCCTGATACTGTCCCACCAGTCCCAGCCCCTGATACTGTCCCACCAGTCCCAGCCCCCTGATACTGTCCCACCAGTCCCAGCCCCCTGATACTGTCCCACCAGTCCCAGCCCCCTGATACTGTCCCACCAGTCCCAGCCCCCTGATACTGTCCCACCAGTCCCAGCCCCCTGATACTGTCCCACCAGTCCCAGCCCCCTGATACTGTCCCACCAGTCCCAGCCCCCTGATACTGTCCCACCAGTCCCAGCCCCCTGATACTGTCCCACCAGTCCCAGCCCCCTGATACTGTCCCACCAGTCCCAGCCCCCTGATACTGTCCCACCAGTCCCAGCCCCCTGATACTGTCCCACCAGTCCCAGCCCCCCCTGATACTGTCCCACCAGTCCCAGCCCCCTGATACTGTCCCACCAGTCCCAGCCCCCTGATACTGTCCCACCAGTCCCAGCCCCCTGATACTGTCCCACCAGTCCCAGCCCCCTGATACTGTCCCACCAGTCCCAGCCCCCCTGATACTGTCCTACCAGTCCCAGCCCCCTGATACTGTCCCACCAGTCCCAGCCCCCTGATACTGTCCCACCAGTCCCAGCCCCCCTGATACTGTCCCACCAGTCCCAGCCCCCCTGATACTGTCCCACCAGTCCCAGCCCCCTGATACTGTCCCACCAGTCCCAGCCCCCTGATACTGTCCCACCAGTCCCAGCCCCCTGATATTGTCCCACCAGTCCCAGCCCCCCTGATACTGTCCCACCAGTCCCAGCCCCCTGATACTGTCCTACCAGTCCCAGGCCCCTGATACTGTCCCACCAGTCCCAGCCCCCTGATACTGTCCCACCAGTCCCAGCCCCCCTGATACTGTCCCACCAGTCCCAGCCCCCTGATACTGTCCCACCAGTCCCAGCTTCCCCCCTGATACTGTCCCACCAGTCCCAGCCCCCTGATACTGTCCCACCAGTCCCAGCCCCGGATACTGTCCCACCAGTCCCAGCTTCCCCCCTGATACTGTCCCACCAGTCCCAGCCCCCTGATACTGTCCCACCAGTCCCAGCCCCTGATATTGTTCCACCAGTCCCAGTCCCCTGATACTGTCCCACCAGTCCCAGCCACCCTGATACTGTCCCACCAGTCCCAGCCTCCTGATACTGTCCCACCAGTCCCAGCCCCCTGATACTGTCCCACCAATCCCAGCCACCCTGATACTGTCCCACCAGTCCCAGCCTCCTGATACTGTCCCACCAGTCCCAGCCCCCTGATACTGTCCCACCAGTCCCAGCCCCCTGATACTGTCCCACCAGTCCCAGCCCCCCTGATACTGTCCCACCAGTCCCAGCCCCCCTGATACTGTCCCACCAGTCCCAGCCCCCTGATACTGTCCCACCAGTCCCAGCTTCCCCCTGATACTGTCCCACCAGTCCCAGCCCCCCTGATACTGTCCCACCAGTCCCAGCCCCCTGATACTGTCCCACCAGTCCCAGCCCCCTGATACTGTCCCACCAGTCCCAGCTTCCCCCTGATACTGTCCCACCAGTCCCAGCCCCCTGATACTGTCCCACCAGTCCCAGCCCCCCTGATAATGTCCCACCAGTCCCAGCCCCCCTGATACTGTCCCACCAGTCCCAGCCCCCCTGATACTGTCCCACCAGTCCCAGCTTCCCCCTGATACTGTCCCACCAGTCCCAGCCCCCTGATACTGTCCCACCAGTCCCAGCTTCCCCCTGATACTGTCCCACCAGTCCCAGCCCCCTGATACTGTCCCACCAGTCCCAGCCCCTGATACTGTCCCACCAGTCCCAGCCCCCTGATACTGTCCCACCAGTCCCAGCCCCCTGATACTGTCCCACCAGTCCCAGCTTCCCCCCTGATACTGTCCCACCAGTCCCAGCCCCCTGATACTGTCCCACCAGTCCCAGCCCCCCTGATACTGTCCCACCAGTCCCAGCTTCCCCCCTGATACTGTCCCACCAGTCCCAGCCCCCTGATACTGTCCCATCAGTCCCAGCCCCCCTGATACTGTCCCACCAGTCCCAGCCCCCTGATGCTGTCCCACCAGTCCCAGCTTCCCCCTGATACTGTCCCACCAGTCCCAGCCCCCTGATTCTGTCCCACCAGTCCCAGCTTCCCCCCTGATACTGTCCCACCAGTCCCAGCCCCCTGATACTGTCCCACCAGTCCCAGCCCCCTGATACTGTCCCACCAGTCCCAGCCCCCTGATACTGTCCCACCAGTCCCAGCCCCCTGATACTGTCCCACCAGTCCCAGCTTCCCCCCTGATACTGTCCCACCAGTCCCAGCCCCCCTGATACTGTCCCACCAGTTCCAGCCCCCCTGATACTGTCCCACCAGTCCCAGCTTCCCCCCTGATACTGTCCCACCAGTCCCAGCCCCCCTGATACTGTCCCATCAGTCCCAGCCCCCCTGATACTGTCCCACCAGTCCCAGCTTACCCCCTGATACTGTCCCACCAGTCCCAGCCCCCCTGATACTGTCCCACCAGTCCCAGCCCCTCTGATACTAGAACTATCCCTGCTTCCTGTGCCCCATGCTGGCCCTATAGTTGCCAGAACTATCCCTGCTTCCTGTGCCCCATGCCGGCCCTATAGTTGCCAGAACTATGCTTCCTGTGCCCCATGCTGGCCCTATAGTTGCTAGAACTATGCTTCCTGTGCCCCATGCTGGCCCTATAGTTGCTAGAACTATGCTTCCTGTGCCCCATGCTGGCCCTATAGTTGCTAGAACTATCCCTCTTCCTGCCCCATGCTGGCCCTATAGTTGCTAGAACTATCCCTGCTTCCTGTGCCCCATGCTGGCCCTATAGTTGCCAGAACTATCCCTGCTTCCTGTGCCCCATGCCGGCCCTATAGTTGCCAGAACTATCCCTGCTTCCTGTGCCCCATGCTGGCCCTATAGCTGCTAGAACTATCCCTGCTTCCTGTGCCCCATGCTGGCCCTATAGCTGCTAGAACTATCCCTGCTTCCTGTGCCCCATGCTGGCCCTATAGCTGCTAGAACTATCCCTGCTACATGTGCCCCATGCTGGCCCTATAGTTGCTAGAACTATCCCTGCTTCCTGTGCCCCATGCTGGCCCTATAGCTGCTAGAACTATGCTTCCTGTGCCCCATGCTGGCCCTATAGCTGCTAGAACTATCCCTGCTTCCTGTGCCCCATGCTGGCCCTATAGTTGCTAGAACTATCCCTGCTTCCTGTGCCCCATGCTGGCCCTATAGCTGCTAGAACTATCCCTGCTTCCTGTGCCCCATGCTGGCCCTATAGTTGCTAGAACTATCCCTGCTTCCTGTGCCCCATGCTGGCCCTATAGTTGCTAGAACTATGCTTCCTGTGCCCCATGCCGGCCCTATAGCTGCTAGAACTATCCGTGCTTCCTGTGCCCCATGCTGGCCCTATAGTTGCTAGAACTATCCCTGCTTCCTGTGCCCCATGCTGGCCCTATAGCTGCTAGAACTATCCCTGCTACATGTGCCCCATGCTGGCCCTATAGTTGCTAGAACTATCCCTGCTATATGTGCCCCATGCTGGCCCTATAGCTGCTAGAACTATCCCTGCTTCCTGTGCCCCATGCTGGCCCTATAGCTGCTAGAACTATCCCTGGCGTCTCGCCCACAGGCCATGTCCGGCGGGATACATCTGTCAGCAAGGGTTCGGCCCCAACCCCAACTATGGCTACACCAACTTCGACAGCTTCGGGTGGGCCTTCCTGTCAGCCTTCAGGCTCATGACACAAGACTTCTGGGAGAACTTATATCAACTGGTGAGTGGAGGTTATTGTGCGCCTAACCTAAGTCAGGTGACTGTTTATGTGGTTATCTGTAGAGTTTGTTGTAGAGCTAGGTGTAGAGCTTGGTGTAGAGCTAGGTGTATAGCTTGGTGTAGAGCTTGGTGTAGAGCTAGGTGTATAGCTTGGTGTAGAGCTTGGTGTATAGCTAGGTGTAGAGCTTGGTGTATAGCTAGGTGTAGAGCTTGGTGTATAGCTAGGTGTAGAGCTTGGTGTATAGCTTGGTGTAGAGCTTGGTGTATAGCTTGGTGTAGAGCTTGGTGTATAGCTAGGTGTAGAGCTTGGTGTATAGCTAGGTGTAGAGCTTGGTGTATAGCTAGGTGTAGAGCTTGTTGTATAGCTAGGTGTAGAGCTTGGTGTATAGCTAGGTGTAGAGCTTGGTGTATAGCTAGGTGTAGAGCTTGGTGTATAGCTAAGTGTAGAGCTAGGTGTATAGCTAGGTGTAGAGCTTGGTGTATAGCTAGGTGTAGAGCTTGGTGTATAGCTAGGTGTATAGCTTTGTGTATAGCTAGGTGTAGAGCTTGGTGTATAGCTAGGTGTATAGCTTGGTGTTGAGCTTGGTGTAGAGCTAGGTGTAGAGCTTGGTGTATAGCTAAGTGTAGAGCTAGGTGTATAGCTAGGTGTAGAGCTAGGTGTATAGCTAGGTGTAGAGCTTGGTGTATAGCTAGGTGTAGAGCTTGGTGTATAGCTAAGTGTAGAGCTAGGTGTAGAGCTTGGTGTATAGCTAGGTGTAGAGCTTGGTGTATAGCTAGGTGTAGAGCTTGGTGTATAGCTAGGTGTAGAGCTTGGTGTATAGCTAGGTGTAGAGCTTGGTGTATAGCTAGGTGTAGAGCTTGGTGTATAGCTAGGTGTAGAGCTTGTTGTATAGCTAGGTGTAGAGCTTGGTGTATAGCTAGGTGTTGAGCTTGGTGTATAGCTAGGTGTAGAGCTTGGTGTATAGCTATGTGTAGAGCTTGGTGTATAGCTAGGTGTAGAGCTTGGTGTATAGCTATGTGTAGAGCTTGGTGTAGAGCTAGGTGTATAGCTTGGTGTAGAGCTAGGTGTATAGCTTGGTGTAGAGCTTGGTGTATAGCTAGGTGTAGAGCTTGGTGTATAGCTAGGTGTAGAGCTTGGTGTATAGCTAGGTGTAGAGCTTGGTGTATAGCTAGGTGTAGAGCTTGGTGTAGAGCTTGGTGTATAGCTAGGTGTAGAGCTAGGTGTATAGCTAGGTGTAGAGCTTGGTGTATAGCTAGGTGTAGAGCTTGGTGTATAGCTAGGTGTAGAGCTTGGTGTATAGCTAGGTGTAGAGCTTGGTGTAAAGCTTGGTGTATAGCTAGGTGTAGAGTTTGGTGTAGAGCTTGGTGTATAGCTAGGTGTAGAGTTTGGTGTATAGCTAGGTGTAGAGCTAGGTGTAGAGTTTGGTGTATAGCTAGGTGTAGAGCTTGGTGTAGAGCTTGGTGTATAGCTAGGTGTAGAGTTTGGTGTATAGCTAGGTGTAGAGCTTGGTGTAGAGCTAGGTGTAGAGCTTGGTGTATAGCTAGGTGTAGAGCTTGGTGTATAGCTAGGTGTAGAGCTAGGTGTATAGCTAGGTGTAGAGTTTGGTGTATAGCTAGGTGTAGAGCTTGGTGTATAGCTAGGTGTAGAGTTTGGTGTAGAGCTTGGTGTATAGCTAGGTGTAGAGTTTGGTGTATAGCTAGGTGTAGAGCTAGGTGTAGAGTTTGGTGTATAGCTAGCTGTATAGCTTGAAGTAGAGCTAGGTATAGCTCTATATAACTAATAACTTGAGGATAGCTAGCTTTTAAGCTCATCTTGCCACACCACACAACGCCATACTTATCCACACCTCACCTCACTTCACCACATTACACCATACTTAACCACACCACACCTCACTACACCATATTTAACCACACCTCACCATACTTAACTACACCTCACTACACCATATTTAACAACACTTCACCATACTTCACCACACCATACTTAACCACACCATACTTAACCACACCATACTTAACCACACCACACCATACTTAACCACACCACACCATACTTAAGCACACTTCACCACTACACACCATACCACACTTCACCGCACCTAACCTGAGTGCTGCACACACACACAGGTGCTACGTTCGGCCGGCCCTTGGCACATCATATTCTTCGTGGTGATCATCTTCCTGGGGTCGTACTACCTGGTGAACCTCATCCTGGCCATCGTGGCCATGTCTTACGACCAGCTGCAGAAGAAGGCGGAGGAGGAGGAGGAAGCGGCCTTAGCTGAAGAAGAAGCACTCAGGGTGAGTGTTCTTTGCTGTATCTTAAGTACCACACATGCACATGTGTTCTGTGGACACCCACCCATATTTTGTACACCAAAACTTCGTAAGGAAATGTATATTATATATTTATGAAACTCTAAATGGTTAGAGGCAAGAAGGTTTCTTTATTATGTGCTGCTGATGTGAGTGGGATGTGAGAGTGATGTGAGTGGGATGTGAGAGTGATGTGATGGAATGCGTTGTACCCCACCAGGAGCAAGAGGTGGCGGCGCAGGAAGCCACCAACCAGGCGCTGGCCATGGCCAGGGGGGAGATCGACGTGGGGTCGATGGGCAAGTCGCCCTCGGACACCTCCTACCAGTCCTACGAGCTCTTCGTCGACCAGGACAAGGTCAACGACGACAACAACAAGGAGAAGATGTCCATCAAGAGTGATGGCGGCGAGTCCATCCACGACATCAAGGCGCGACCCAACGGCAAGCTGGCGTCCACCAGGAAGGTCAGTGGGGCCGCCCCTCTTCCTTCAGCTTTCTTCCTCGCGCTCTGCTGCTTCACAGATCAAAGTGTCCCAGCTTCCATTCAAGCTTTCACTTGCATTAGGTGTAACTCTCATTGCGGATTCATAACATCAACCCCTAGACAAAAAAAAAGTCAATTAGAAAATATTATGTGTAAATATATATATATATATATATATATATATATATATATATATATATATATATATATATAAATATATATAATATATATATATATATATATATATATATATATATATATATATATATATATATATATATATACATATAAGTTTCAAAATGAATAGGATACCCATTGATATAACATCTTGTAAAAATTCTTTACTTGACGTAAAATCCATGACGATTCGATAACTTCTCGTATTCATCATCAGATCTAACAAAACACTCATAAATAAGCGGCCAACAAAATACTCATAGTGAGTAAAATAAACCTATCAGAAGACAAAAGATATTAAACAGCAATAATTACATAACAAAAAACAGTTAAACTTGCGTGATCAAACAAAGGGAAACTTGATAATTATCACATGGATACTCAAAGCTAATTAAAAGATTACAATAATAACTACACGCTTACAGAATATTTATATAAAACACAAACAAATTTAAAACAGTCATGAAATACTAATTGAAACATTGCCAGAAACCTAAATATCACACAAGACTAAACACCAAAAATTGTATTTTATGTCTTAATTAAATAAATACAACAATAAAAATATCAACACTTGAAATGAGTAAAAAAAAAAATACAATTCAGGGAAGACAAAAGCAAAAAATAAATACGTCAGCATGAGGCTATAAATCAAATACAAGGTCGTCAGTGTATTATACAGTGTACAATTGAACAGCTGAAACGTTGTTATTAAGCAGAGGCCGCAGCTCCCTGATATATAAGGATTCTATTATTATCAAATCCGATTGGCCATTCATACAGGTGTCTTAAATTTTAAAATCGGATTCCAGTAGAGAATGATTCAACTGACAACAATGATTTGTAATCTCCGAGAATGATGGTTTGGATAATAGTAATCCAGTCCTAAATTCTCGGCAAATTTGGAAATAATATATTACTGGATATAAATTCCAGTGATCATTCCCGGAGATTAGAAATCATTGTTATATGTTGAATCACCACACGCAAGTTTAACGGTGTATTTTGTTCTGTAACTGTAACTGTTCTGTAACTGTAACTGTTCTGTAACTGTAACTGTTCTGTAACTGTAACTGTTCTGTAACTGTAACTGTTCTGTAACTTGTGTTGTTTGATATCTCTTAAGTCTTCTGATAGGTAGTTCTTGCTCGGTATCACTTCTTGGTTGCCTGCTTATTTTTGTTGACTTCTGTATTTTTTTTAGATCTGATGATGAATACGAGAAATAGTCGAAACGTCATGGATTTTACGTAAAAGTAAATAAGAATTTTAACAAGATGTTTGTTATATCAATGGTTTTCCTATTAATTTTGAAATTAAGATTCCCGAAGGAAATTTCTATTATATATATATATATATATATATATATATATATATATATATATATATATATATATATATATATATATATATATATATATATATATATATATATATATATATATCATGGTGGCCCAAAAGTTAATACTCTACCGTAATACTATTTAATATGTAAAATAAAAAAATATAAGATACCTTTTAATTTTGTTAAATTTATATATTTCTATTACTTTAGTTATTATATTTTTAATTTAAATGTTTATATAGGATGATGCTGTAGATGAAAAAAATTACGATACAGTGGCTTTTGGGCCGCCATTATATCTATGTGGAAGCAGACTCCATTTGATCCATTGAGCTTTGATAATAAAATATAACTAATAGAAATCCATTCCGTCTGTAATAGGATCAATAGTCATATATAATAATAATAATAATAAATTGAGGAGCAGGCACCTCACTCTTGCCTGTACCAAACATTGCTCTCGCTAATTAGTGCCAGCTCCTGCCCTACTTCTCATAAGGTTTCGTGCATCTACTGACATGTTTCCGGATACTGCGATGCTGATGTTTTCGTGAGGGATGTGTGCGGGTACTGTAGCCTGGTGATCATAGCGCCTGGTTCCTCCTTCCGCGGGTCCGTCAGTCTGGTCCTCCAGGTGTACTAGCTGGCTCTAGGTCCGAGGAAGCTGGTCCTCCAGGTGTACTAGCTGGCTCTAGGCCCGAGGAAGCTGGTCCTCCAGGTGTACTAGCTGGCTCTAGGTCCGAGGAAGCTGGTCCTCCAGGTGTACTAGCTGGCTCTAGGCCCGAGGAAGCTGGTCCTCCAGGTGTACTAGCTGGCTCTAGGCCCGAGGAAGCTGGTCCTCCAGGTGTACTAGCTGGCTCTAGGCCCGAGGAAGCTGGTCCTCCAGGTGTACTAGCTGGCTCTAGGCCCGAGGAAGCTGGTCCTCCAGGTGTACTAGCTGGCTCTAGGCCCTGGTCCTCCAGGTGTACTAGCTGGCTCTAGGCCCGAGGAAGCTGGTCCTCCAGGTGTACTAGCTGGCTCTAGGCCCGAGGAAGCTGGTCCTCCAGGTGTACTAGCTGGCTCTAGGCCCGAGGAAGCTAGTCCTCCAGGTGTACTAGCTGGCGCTAAGCTCCAAGAAGCTGGCTGCTGGACCTCCAAGGGCACTAGCAGGCACCAGGGCCCAGGGAACAGGGCCCGGCACACACCCTGCACAATACCTCTGTCCTCTTGCCGTAGTCGCCCACTCTAGCGCTCTAGTCCTCCACTCTAGCGCTCTAGTCGTCCACTCTAGTGCTCTAGTCACCCACTCCATTATAGTATTTAGATGGACGTCTCTCTAGAAACTCAAATACAATGTAGCATGAAGCAGACGTCTGATCTATCAGTTTGAAACCACGTTTAAGAACAAGAAATCTAGTCCAATGTTAGACCATGTTATAGGAGATATAGAAGCAACCAAGTACTTTATAGATATTATATACGTATAGGAATAGTTGCATGGATCACGAGCCATAGCTTCTAATGTATTTTAACGTGAAATATTAGTTGTTACTGGGATAGAGGTGAGCATGCAGCGACGTGTCTGAGTGATGTGTTACGTAGTGTGAAGTACTGGAGCCTCATGTACCCCCCGTTACTGGCTCTCCTGAGGTCATGTGTGGTCACCTACCTTACTGGCTCTCCTGAGGTCATGTGTGGTCACCGTCCTTACTGGCTCTCCTGAGGTCATGTGTGGTCACCGTCCTTACTGGCACTCCTGAGGTCATGTGTGGTCACCTACCTTACTGGCTCTCCTGAGGTCATGTGTGGTCACCTACCTTACTGGCTCTCCTGAGGTCATGTGTGGTCACCGTCCTTACTGGCTCTCCTGAGGTCATGTGTGGTCACCTACCTTACTGGCTCTCCTGAGGTCATGTGTGGTCACCTACCTTACTGGCTCTCCTGAGGTCATGTGTGGTCACCTACCTTACTGGCACTCCTGAGGTCATGTGTGGTCACCGTCCTTACTGGCTCTCCTGAGGTCATGTGTGGTCACCTACCTTACTGGCTCTCCTGAGGTCATGTGTGGTCACCTACCTTACTGGCTCTCCTGAGGTCATGTGTGGTCACCTACCTTACTGGCTCTCCTGAGGTCATGTGTGGTCACCTACCTTACTGGCTCTCCTGAGGTCATGTGTGGTCACCTACCTTACTGGCTCTCCTGAGATCATGTGTGGTCACCTACCTTACTGGCTCTCCTGAGGTCATGTGTGGTCACCTTTACTGGCACTTCTGAGGTCAAGTTGGGTCACACCCTGGCACTCCTGAGGTCAAGTTGGGTCACCTTTACTGGCACTTCTGAGGTCAAGTTGGGTCACACCCTGGCACTCCTGAGGTCAAGTTGGGTCACCTGTCTTACCGGCACCCCTGAGGTCAAGTTGGGTCACCTACCTTACTGGCACCCCAGAGGTCAAGTTGGGTCACCTGTCTTACTGGCACTCCAGAGGTCAAGTTGGGTCACCTGTCTTACCGGCACCCCAGAGGTCAAGTTGGGTCACCTGTTTTACCGGCACCCCAGAGGTCAAGTTGGGTCACCTGTCTTACCGGCACTCCAGAGGTCAAGTTGGGTCACCTGTCTTACCGGCACCCCAGAGGTCAAGTTGGGTCACCTGTCTTACCGGCACCCCAGAGGTCAAGTTGGGTCACCTGTCTTACCGGCACCCCAGAGGTCAAGTTGGGTCACCTGTGTTACCGGCACCCCAGAGGTCAAGTTGGGTCACCTGTCTTACCGGCACCCCAGAGGTCAAGTTGGGTCACCTGTCTTACCGGCACTCCAGAGGTCAAGTTGGGTCACCTGTGTTACCGGCACCCCAGAGGTCAAGTTGGGTCACCTGTGTTACTGGCACTCCAGAGGTCAAGTTGGGTCACCTGTGTTACCGGCACCCCAGAGGTCAAGTTGGGTCACCTGTGTTACTGGCACTCCAGAGGTCAAGTTGGGTCACCTGTGTTACCGGCACCCCAGAGGTCAAGTTGGGTCACCTGTGTTACTGGCACTCCAGAGGTCAAGTTGGGTCACCTGTCTTACCGGCACCCAGAGGTCAAGTTGGGTCACCTGTCTTACCGGCATCCCAGAGGTCAAGTTGGGTCACCTGTCTTACCGGCACCCCAGAGGTCAAGTTGGGTCACCTGTCTTACCGGCACCCCAGAGGTCAAGTTGGGTCACCTGTGTTACCGGCACCCCAGAGGTCATGTTGGGTCACCTGTCTTACCGGCACCCCAGAGGTCATGTTGGGTCACCTGTCTTACCGGCACTCCAGAGGTCAAGTTGGGTCACCTGTCTTACCGGCACTCCCTCCCTGTCCAGCTCGTTGTTGCCGTGGAGAGTCTTGGTGGGCAGCTGCCGGAGTGTGATGCTCCTTAGGACAGTCCTCTGTCCTTTTGTGGCCTTGTGCTCCTGCTGCTGTCCTCTCTAATTCTGCTGGGCACCTTTTCCTTTTCCT